TATTCTTCAATCTTCCTTATTGGTGTAAGTTGGAAGTTAGACACTGTATAGATGTGATGCATGTTGAAAAAAATGTCTGTGATAGTATAATTGGGACATTGCTTAACATAAAAGGAAAGACAAAAGATGGAATAAAAGCAAGACAAGATTTGGCGAGACATGGGTATACGTTCGAATTACATCCACAATCGGTTGGAAAACGCACTTACTTACCTCCGGCTTGTCATACTCTATCAAAGAAAGAAAAGAGAAGCTTTTGTGAGTGTTTACATGAGGTCAAAGTGCCACAAGGATACTCCTCAAATGTTAAGAGTCTTGTGTCTATGCAAGAGTTGAAATTAGTTGGTTTAAAGTCTCATGATTGTCATGTGTTGATGCAACAACTTTTACCAGTGACGATTCGAAACATCTTACCAACTTCTGTTAGAATTGTTATTACTCGGTTATATTTGTTTTTCAACGCCATTTGTAAAAAGGTAATTGATCCAAAAAAGTTAGATGAATTAGAAAATGAAGCAATTGTAATAGTGTGCCGAGTTAGAAATGTATTTTTCCCCTTCATTTTTTGATATCATGGTGCATTTGATAGTCCATTTGGTAAGAGAAATTCGATTATGTGGTCCAATTTTTCTTAGATGGATGTATCCTGTTGAGAGATACATGAAGATCTTAAAAGGATATGTGAAGAATCGATACAGGCCGAAGCTTCTATTGTGGAAAGGTACATTGCGGAAGAAGCCATTGAGTTTTGTTTAGGATACATGTCAAAATCGGAACCAATAGATATTCCTAAGATGAGACATGATGGAAGATGTGAAGGTAAGGGTACTCGAAATTTAAAGATTAAAAATGTTAGTCGGAAAGAAGTTGACCAAGCACATTTATACATATTGAACAACAACGATGAAGTAATCCCTTACATATCACAACACATAAGCTGAAATAAAGGCAACACATCCACGAATGAATGAAAAATGGGTATTGAATGAACATAACAAAAGTTTCCTTTCTTGGTTTAAAAAAAGGGTATATGTTGAGATTAATGCTTCGAAACACTTTTGAGACTTGCTCGTGGGCCTAATAGTGATGTCATTACATTTGGTGGGTATGACATTAATAACTATTGTTTCTACTCAAAAATAGAAGATGATAAAGGTAGAGTACAAAATAGTGGGGTCACAATTCAAGTTGAATCTATGCATTTTTCTAGTTCTAAAGACAAAAATCCTATCACAACTTCTATGAGTTATTTTGGGGTCATACAAGAGATATGGGAAATTGATTATGTTACTTTTAGGGTGTCTGTCTTCAAGTGTAAATGGGTTGAAGGGAATACGGGTGTGCGAACGAGATGACCTAGGATTTACTTTGGTTGATTTGAGTAAAGTTGGGTATAAGGATGAACCTTTTATTTTGGCATATCAAGCGAGACAAATATTTTATGTCAAGGATCCATGTAATGAGAGATGGTCAATTGTCCTTAAAGGAAGAAGCATGCACGGAATTCATGAAGATGAGTCTCTAGATATACATGAAACACCTTCATTTTCAAGTAGACCATTTGATGACATAGTTGACAATGAAGTTGATGACATACATGCAATTCGAAGTGATCATGATGAAGGGATATGGGAAAACATACCAACATAATAGGTGTTTATCTTCACATTTTCTAGTTCTTTTTATTCAAACTTATAAAGTATGTTGACTTCATATTGTTTTTCAGGATATGTCGGATTCCACAGCTGGTATTGGTAGTGGTAGTGGCAGTGGCAGGAGCGGAAGTGGTGATAAAGGTAGATTTGTCACTCGGTTAAAGGGGTTAACAGCAAGGAGGGTAGCTAAAGAGAAAACTGAAGTTGAAGTTGATCCACGTTACGGTAAGGCATCCGGCCCAAATGCTTGCTAAGTTTAAGAGCTATTTGGGACTACTAGCTCGACACCATGTTCCGATTACTACTCCATCTTGGGATGATGTAGAGGAAGCCGAGAAGAACCTCATGTGGTAGGATGTTCGGGTATTTCTATATTTGTTGAATACTTTATATATCATTATTAATTGAATTTAACATTTATTGGTCATTTCACGACAAAATTCTGATGTTCCTAACACCGAGGTGATGAGGAAGAAGATTTTATCCTCCATTGCCATTAGATGGAGGGACTTTAAGACTTTCTTGACACGGGAGTATGTATTTGGAAAGTTTCAAGATGAATCTCCCTGTCTAAAGTATCAAATTAGTGAGGAGGATTGGTTACGGTTTTGTGCCGGCCGAATGGACCCCTCTTGGCGGGATAAAAGACGTGCTTGCCCAACAACGTCGAGAGGTTGAATGATGCACCCCATGTATTGTCACGAGGAGGGTATGCATTATTGGAGCAACGTCTCATGAAATCCGAGAGAAGAGTCGGCGAGGAGTTGATTCTACTGACCTTGCATCTCCACCCCTCGCTATCGAGATGTGGAAGGCGGTCCGGACAAAATCGATGGACAAATGACTTACGAGTACGCACGAATCATTGCTCGGAAAATCGTAAGTTATAATGTCAATTTGAATTGATTCTAATGTGAAAGTTAGTGTATGACTTAATTATTGTTAATGTGTTGTAGGATGATTTAGTTGAGCGAGACCGACCAAGGATCATTTATTCCTCATGGTCGACAAGATATATTGGCGACGACCACGGAAAACCAGATTACTCGGGACGTGTGCATGGTGTTGGTGGAACACGGGGCCTTCGTGATTACTTTGGTCCAACATCACGAAGGACCACTGCTGACTCTTGCAACCGGGAGGCCTTGCATAAAATGGAGATGCGAGTTTGAAGAAAAGTTAAATCAAATAAGGCATTCCTTGCGGCAAGAGTTTGATGAGAAAATTGAATCTCTCGCCCGCTCTCGGCAACGAGACTCAAGGAACACCTCAAACAATTGAACATGATGTTGTTCGAGTCGGCACTAAAGGGAGTTGTGCTGCTACTGCTGCTGATCCTTCGGGAGAATATACTCGGCCGATGCATCACACCGGTGTGAGTTATATGTTGAAGATGACCCCGCGTCTAGTGGCTATTGGTCGAGTTTTTGAGGGTGGCTTAACCATCCATGGTGTCCCTCTACGAGCGGACTGGACACGAGTAGTAGTTAATGAAGTTCATGATGCTAATGCTCCGAGTGTCTTTTCCTAATGAAGAGATTCAATTAGTGGGGCGAGGCAAGCGAGACATTCTTGGCTTGGCCAAGACGTTTAGTTATGCCACTATCGGCACGAGACCAAGGTAATATATATATATATATATATATATATATATATATATATATATTGTCTATTTTCTCTTTTCTAGTATTATAATTATATAAATGTTTAATTAATTGTTATCATTTGTTTAGGAAGACTTGCGTCGTGCTAAGCATAAAAAAACAACCTATTATTGATGAGGATCTGACGGAATGTGATGATGATCTCATCTCTATGTTGTTGACCATATTACCATGGTTGAGGAAGAGACCATGTCAGATACAATGGGATGTTAGAGTGTTTGGAATTGACAATTCCGGTATTCCATTATACATTTCCTTGTCCGATGCTTTAGAAATTCTTTGGGGAAATTGCATGTTAAACATTTCCATCATACAATTGTGGGCAATGTAAGTCATTCTCATTTATGTTTCTAAGATTATAATAATTATATTCAACTTATAATTAATTGTTTTAGGTACCTTGACAAATTGAGTGTGGAACAAGAAAAATCGAAGTATACGGATTTCTTGAGCCTCAATCCATCCAAAAATGCGGAAATACAAAGGTTGGAATCCAACAATATATGCAAACATGGATGAGTGACTCAAAAAGACATATATATTTGGCTCCATACATTGAAGGGTTAGTATTTTAATTTATATTTTTGTAACTAATTTTTATGTCATACAATGTAGGTCCCATTAGCGAGTTAATTGTAATCATGCCTCGGGATTACAGCTGTGGTGTGGTTTTGTTCATTACATCGGAAACAGGAGTCAAGAAATGAAAAATTTATTACAAGGGTAACTTTATCTTTTATTCATTAATTATATTTTTAAATTGTGAATACATATTGAATAATATATGACTTTTTTCACTTAGAATCGTTTACGGAACTAATGTTCTAAGTGGAAAACCTAGAACAAAGATTTTGCAATTCATTTATCCGAAGGTTAGAAATTTATTTATATAAGTGAATACCATAATTATTGTTTGTATTTAAATTTTGAAAATAATATTATGTTTTTTCATCATTTCGAGTGTAATAAGCAAACGAGACTCGTTTGAATGTGGTTACTATGTAATGTATTGGATGAGAGCCATAATTTGTGCGGGTTTAATTGATTCTTGGACGGAGGTAATTACTTTTAACATTAGTTAAGTTTATTTAACTTTATTCATGTTGCATGTTTACAAGAGTCAAATTCATGTTTCAGGTATTTCAAGATCCATCTCCATTACCAGAATCCGATATTACACAAATTAGAGAACAATGGGCAAAATTTTTTGTTCAACAATTCTAGTACATAATTTTTTATGTTCTTGTTCATATTATATTGTGTGTATTATGTAGTTTAAGTAGCTTAGTTTGTATTAACTTTTAGTTTGTAATAGATTTTTTAGTTTGTATGTTTATATTATATTGTTTTATTATGTAGTTTGAATTATATAATATTATATTTTTAATTTACTAGCTAAAGAAAAGCTGAACCTACGGATCTGTCTGGTTGTAATATTTACGGGTTTTAGTTGTAAAACGGAATAAATAAACCCAATTTTAAAAAAAAAACAGCAAATTTACGTCGCATAGTTTTTTTTTTTTCGAAAGTTTTTACGTCACGTTTAGTGGTATATGCCACGCAAAATTATGTCGGGTCTTGATAAGCGACGTAAATCTACGTCGGGCTAAAGGGTCCGACGTAAATTTACGTCTCCTGTTTTAACGTCAGACTTAAATACGACGTAAAAAGCCCTAAATACCTGACGTAAAAGCCCCTTTTTGCACTAGTGTCTCTGTCTACACGGAACGATAGATTTTTATCATTCTCGGATTTGCCTGCCTTAACTCTTTGAGCTGAGAGAGTGGCTTTGGTGGTAAGATAGGCCTCTGCAGCCTCAAACACTTGGTTTTTGGACATGCCTTGAAATTCTTCAATGACAACAGTGAGTTGGGTGGCGATCTTGCGAGATAGATTGTGAAGTCCTGAGTGAAAAAACTCTACGACTTCATGAGGAATGAACTCATTGGTAATACTTCTTATCAGCATAGCTGAAGCTGCAAGAGAGGCCACAACTAACAAAAGGGACTTGCTATTCGACATGCTTTGGTTAATGGAAAATAAGGTGACACAAAGGACAGAAAAAATGTTCAATACTCCAACTCAAAGATAAACTCTGTAACAAAATCAATTCCTCAACGTGAAACTTAACTACTATAATATTGACCTAAAATCACGTTAACTGATACTTCAAGTAATTATCAACAATCTAACATGTATCTAATCAAGCACCAAATCTTTCTTGTTTGGGCCTTGTATAAGGTGATCTCAATATGCATAATCAAAGGATTGGAATATGCCCTTTATATTATATCAGAAAACGAGACTAGTTTATTTACTCTTGACTCTTCTTTTGGGTTGTTGAAAAGTGGACCTTGACGTGTTTACCACGTATATCGACTTTCCCATTTTGAAAATTTCCGTGGTACTGTTTGTGTTCCTAACTTTTGAGATTGATTGGTTGATGTTGATGCAGCATTTTGGAATATTCAGAGAGAAGGAAGGTACGGAGAAACCGGGAACTTCATGCTTTCAGAGACCCCGTTGAATAGAATAAGAGACTTGACGTATACTGTTCCATTTAATTGATTTGCTTTTATGGGGGTTTCTTTTTTCTTTTGTCACTACTGCAGAAAAGGCTTTTTACATCGGTTAAAATGGGCTTTCGACGTCGGTTAAAGCGGCGACATAGATACGGGGGTCATAGAAAGTAAGGCTTTCTACGTCGGTTCCTAATAACCGATGTAGAAAGTAAGACTTTCTATGTTGGTTAATAGGAACCGACGTAGAAAGCCCTACTTTCTTTGAGCTATTATGATTGGTCAAACTGGTTATGATCGGTCATAGAGCTATTACGATCGATCATAAGCTGGTTACGATCGGTCACGAGAAAGACTTTCTACGTCGGTTAGTCGAGGAACCGACGTAGAAAGTCTTATTTTGTATGAGCTATTCGATCGGTCATAGCTGGTTACGATCGGTCATGAAGCTAATCTGATCGATCATAGGCGATTCGACTGTCGTAATACTTTCTATGTCGGTTAACACTTATAATCGACATAGAAAGTCTTACTTTCTATGTCGGTTAAAATTATAGCAGACATAGAAAGTACTTTCTACGTCGGGTAATGACATAGCAGAGCGTAGAAAGTGTTATTTTTTTAAAATACCGCATTTTATTTACGAGATGCTACATTTCTTCGAGTAGACCTACCTATTCATCACAGTTCCGAGACAAATAACCACGAGATCCGAGTACAGACGAGATATGCACAGTTCATATATAAATTTTGCTACGAGATATATATCCGATACAGACAGATTCGATTGCGAGACGAGATATGTACATATGAAACACATTGAAATGAATATATGTACAGACGAGATCCGATTCCAGACAGTTCATTTACTTAAACGAATGTAAATTTCCTAACTTAAATCAATTCTATCTAAATTGTTACAAGTTAAATTTCCTATGAAGATTGAATGCTTAAATTTCCTATCAAGTTGGAGCATTCTCCCAAAATCCTTCCATATGGTCATAACGGATGGCATGCACATCATCTATTTCTACATTAACACTCAAGTTTGGCATATTTGAAGAGAAACATGGTGTCTCGGGTATATCAAGTACTAATTCATCATTCTCATCGAAGTATACATGGGTTTTCCTTGTAGAACCACTGACCATCCTTTGTTAGCGGGATCGGTGACATAAAACACTTGTTTTGCACGAGATGCCATGATAAATGGTTCTTCGGTATAACGAGTATTTTCAAGGTTAACCAAGGTAAATCCAAGATCATCGGTGAAGATGCCGGTATTAAAATCAACCCACTTGCATTTAAAAATAGGTACTACGAATATCGTGTAATCTATTACCCAAATCTCTTCAATTACACCAAAGTAGCCCATTGACGCCCTTATCGGATATTTATCCTTTGAACTCGAGAAATGCATTGATTCGACCACCACCATGACTCCACTATTTTGCATTGTACTTATTTCATCTTCTCCCTTTGTATAAAATGAATAGTTATTTATATCATACCCACCCCAACATATCACATCAAAGTTTGGCTCACATGCTAGCCACTTTAGTGTATGAGAAGCTGTATTGTCACCTTTAACTTGTTGTTTAAACCACTTCAAAAAGCTCTTGTTGTGTTCAGTGATCACCCACTTTTTAGGCATACGTGGATTATTTCGCTTCACAATCTCTTTATGAGCACCTAAGTAGGGGATGACTTCTTCACTGTTATTCAATATGTACAAATGCGCTTGAAGTACTTCATCTCAACACATTGTCACAACTTTTGCACCTCGAGTTCCTCTACCAAGACCTATTCCATGGTAACGAGTCTTAGGTAACCCTATAGGTTCAACTTCGATAAGTAGTTTGTGCAAAACTCAATAGCTTCCTCTGCAATATATCTTTGAACAATTGATGCTTCGGGACGATATTGGTTCTTCACATACCCTTTTAATATTTTCATATATCGCTCAAAAGGGTACATCCATCGTAAGAAAAGCTGGACCACGATTCTAACTTCCCTGGCTAGATGAACAATCAAGTGAACCATAATATCAAAAAATGATGGAGGAAAGTACATCTCAAATTGACATAATATTACTGCAGCCTCATTCTCTAAGCTGATCCAAAACATCCAGGTCCATAACTTAACTACATATGGCATTTAAAAAAAGCATAATCGAGTTAAGGAATATCTAACATTGTACGGTAAGATACCTCGAATAGCCACGGGTAGAAGTTGTTGCATCAATACATGACAATCATGAGATTTTAACCCAAGCAATTTGAGATCTTTCATAGATACAAGTCTCTTCACATTGGAAGAGTAACCAAATGGAACCTTCACACCTCGTAAAAACTCACAAAAACTTTTTTCTCTTTTTTAGACGGTGTGTGACATGCTGGAGGCAAGTATGTTCGGTTACCATGAGGTTGAGGAGCTAATTGTTCTCTTATACCCATTTCAACCATGTCCAAACGAGCATTGACACCATCTTTTGTTTTTCCTTGAATGTTAAGGAGCGTTCAGATGATCTTGTCACACACATTTTTCTCTACATGCATGACATCTATACAATGCCTCACATCAAGAACCCTCCAATATGGAAGAACAAAAAGGATTGACATTTTCTTCCATATACCTGTGGCTTTCTTTTGCGTCTTTCCAAACTCACACGAAATTGCACCTACTCGTTGATATACTTCTTCCCCACTTAAAGGTGTTGGGGCTGCATCATTTTCTTGACACCAGTTAAATGATTTTTTTAATTTACGATATGAATGGTTTGAAGGAAGAAATCTTCGGTGTCCAAGGTACACTCGTTTTCCTTCCATGTTGTAGTTGATAGTGACATGTGTCTTCTTCACATATCGGGCAAGCTTTATGTCCCTTTGTCTTGTAGCCACTCAAATTACCATATCTTTGGAAAGTCATTAATTGTACAAAATAACATTGCACGCAACTTGAATAAGTCACCTGTGTACCCATCAAACACATCAACACCTTTCTCCCACAACATCTTCAACTCTTCAACCAATGGGCTTAAAAAAACATCAATGTCATTTCCAGGTTGTCCGGGACCCGAGATCATCAAAGATAGCATCAAGTACTTACGTTTCATACACAACCACGGAGGTAAGTTGTAAATAACTAACACCACGAGGCCATGAACTATGTTTCTTGCTTAAATTTCCATATGGATTCATTCCATCCGTAGCAAGTCCAAACCTAATGTTTCTTGGATCATTACCAAAATTACTGGAAGATGGAATCAATTTTTTCCATTGCAATCCATCTGCAGGATGCCTCAACTCGACCATCTTTAATACGACTATCTGCATGCCATCTAGTGAGTTTTGCATCATTTTCATTAGTGAATAATCGTTTCAACCTTGGAACAATGGGAAGATACCATAACACTTTTGTCGGGGTACCCTTCATAACATCATTGTCAGAATCACCATCCTTCTTCTTGTATCGTGATTCCCAGCATTGTGGACATTCGTGACAGTTCTCAAATTCTTTCTTGTACAACACACAATCATTCGGACATGCATGAATTTTTTGGTACTCCATACCCATTGGACACAATATCTTCTTAGCATCATAATTGCGGGTTGGCAATGTGTTACCTTCGGGGAGCATGTCACTCAACAACTCAAGCAATTCACGTGAAACTTTTATCGATCCACCCATTCTTTGCCTTCACATTGAACAATTTTAGTACCGCAGACAATTGTGTGAACTTAGTACAATTTGTATACAAAGGCTCTTTTGCATCATTGGACAACTTCTCGTACACATGTGTGTGTTGGAAGGCATCTTGTCCAAGCTCACGAATCATTTCCTCCAGTCGATCATCCATCTCTAGATCAACTTCTTCTTTGTCTTCTACACTTGGCATGTTTAATAATTCACCATGCCATGTCCACTTTATGTAACTCTTTAGGAAACCATCACAAAGAACATGTTCCCGAATAACTTCGATCGGTAATCTTCGCTCATTCAAGCGAGTTAACACAAGGGCAATAGAATCTTCCATCATTATCCGGAACATTCATCTTAGCAAATTCAAGGAATTGTTCTACTCCACTCTCATATTCATTTGTTGTTCGTCTATAATTGATCCAACTCCGATCCATTGTTACAAATCTAATTTTCAAAATCAAATTAGCTACGAAACACGAAATAACTACATTATAATGCCTACACGAAATCCAACTCCACTCTCAAAATAACTACATTATAATACAAATCTAATGTTCAAAATCAAAATCACGAAAGAATGCCTACGAAACACATTCAAATGACTAAACTACTTACAATACATCTCTAAATTAGCTAAAGGCACCCGTGATGTTTCCCTCTCTTGACAGCATTATTACTTACTAGATTCAATACTGTAAACCTACATTGGCTAAAGCAAGCACGAAAACTTACCTCTTGAAGACCTACAGAGGTGGCAAGTGGCGTGACGTGCAGAGCTGGGTGGGGAGAAACGTATCCCAG